AAAAAAAAAAAAAAAAAAAAAAAAAAAAAAATTTAGCTGGACATGGTGTCATGCGCCTGTATTCCCAGCTGCCCAGGAGGCTGAGGCAGGAGAATCGCTTAAACCTGAGAGGGGGAAGTTGCAGTGAGCCAAGATTGTGCCATTGCACTCCAGCCTGGGTGACGGAGCAAGACTCCGTCTGAAAAAAAAAAAAGTATAAATAAGTTCTTACCAGTTGGGAATTATTCCTTTTTTTCTTTCATCGCCTCTTTTCTCCTTGAGCTCCTACTACTACTCCACTTCCCCACAAACTTTATGCTTTTATACTTGAAAGTCCTTTATTGACCAAACTTTTACATCTTCCTGCATATACATATATATTAATGGAGATGAAAAATATCTTTCTTGTGTTTGTAAGACTCTAGTTGTTAAAAATTATTCTGGAGTAACTGTTACAATTATTATAAGAACAGAATGTTCTTATAAACATGTGATCGTACACATTTTTTTTTTTTGAAGGAGTCTTGCTCTTTCGCCCAGGCTGGAGTGCAGTGGCGGGATCTCGGCTCACGCAAGCTCCGCCTCCCGGGTTCATGCCATTCTCTTGCCTCAGCTTCCTGAGTAGCTAGGACTACAAGGCGCCTGCCACCACGCGCTGCTAATTTTTTTTTTTTTTTTTTTGTATTTTTATTTTTAGTAGAGACGGGGTTTCACCGTGTTAGCCAGGGTGGTCTCGATCTCTTGACCTCATGATCCGCCTGCCTCGGCCTCCCAAAGTGCTGGGATTACAGGCGTGAGCCACCGCGCCTGGCCGATGGTACACATTTTTATAACTGTTAAAAATAAATTTTTAATAAGATAGTAGTCTGGGAGTGGCGGTTCACCCCCATAACCCAGCACTTTGAGACGCTGAGGTGGGAGGATTGCTTGAGGCCAGGAGCTCAAGATCCATCTGGGCAACATAGTTAGACTCTGTTGCTATAAGAAAACCTTTTTTTTTTTTTTTTTTTTTTTTGAGACGGAGCCTTGCTCTGTCGCCAGGCTGGAGTGCAGTGGCTGATCTCGGCTCACTGCAACCTCCGCCTCCCAGGTTCAAGTGATTCTCCTGCCTCAGCCTCCCGAGTAGCTGGACCCACAGGCGCGTGCCACCAAACCCAGCTATTTTTTGTATTTTTAGTAGAGACAGGGTTTCACCATGTTGACCAGGCTGGTCTCAAACTCCTGACCTCAGGTGATCTGCCCGCCTCGGCCTTCCAAAGTTCTGGGACTACAGGCATGAGCCACCGCGCCCGGTCTCTACAAAAAACTTTTTTAAAAAAATTAGCCGGGTGAGGTGGTGTGCGCCTGTAGTCCTAGCTACTTGAGGTGGGAGGATGGCTTGTGAGCTATGATCGTACCACCGCATTCCAGCCTGGTTGATAGAACAAGACCCTGGCCGGGCGCCGTGGCTCAAGCCTGTAATCCTAGCACTCTGGGAGGCCGAGACGGGTGGATCACGAGGTCAAGAGATCGAGACCTTCCTGGCTAACACGGTGAAACCCCGTTTCTACTACAAAATACAAAACAAAAACAAAAACAGAAACAAAAAAACCCAAAAAACTAGCCGGGCGAGGTGGCGGGCGCCTGTAGTCCCAGCTGCTGGGGAGGCTGAGGCAGGAGAATGGCGTAAACCCGGGAGGCGGAGCTTGCAGTGAGCTGAGATCCGGCCACTGCACTCTAGCCTGGGCGACAGAGCGAGACTCTATCTCAAAAAAAAAAAAAAAAAAAAAGCAAGACCCTTTTTTTCTTTTTCTTTTTCTTTTCTTTTTTTTTTTGAGATAATCTCGCTCTGTCGCCCAGGCTGGAGTGCAATGATGCGATCTCGGCTCACTGCAACCTCCGCCTCCCGGGTTCGAGCGGTTTTCCTTCCTCGGCCTCCTGAGTAGCTGGGACTACAGGCGCCTGCCACCACGCCCAGCTAATTTTTTGTATTTTTAGTAGAGACGGGGTTTCACCATGTTAGCCAGGATGGTGTCGATCTCCCGACCTTGTGATCTGCCCACCTTGGCCTCCCAAAGTGCTGGGATTACAGGCTTGAGCCACCGCGCCCGGCCGACCTTGCCTTTAAAAAAACAAACAAACAAACAAAAAAAGAAAGGAAATAAAAGAAAAAAAAAGAAAAGGTGTTCATGGTGCCTTAGTGAAAGAAACAGGGTACATTTCCCTTTATTTT